TTTTCTGACTTTTCTCATCTAAATTGATATATTCAATATTTTACCATCTTGGACTCTGCCTTTTCTTTGATGTGTTTAGCATCTCCTTTCTTTTGCGAGCAAATCACGCAATAGGGTTGCTAAACGCATAGTGAATAATTTTTATCTTTTTTTTCCATTAACTAATTGATATTTTCTGTACGTTGAGGCGAAGTAGAAAACACGCTAGAATGGTCGCAGCCGTGTGTACGGCGCGATTCCTGTGCGAGAGGGTGGGTGGAGGTGTTGTGTGTGGATGCTATTTTCTGCCTCGGCAAGTATGATGTTTTCTGTTTTTTCTTTCCTGCTTGTTTCGAATAACGTCTGCTGCGCTGGCGTAGACTCGCACCCATACATTTTTTATTAGTGCCAAAGATATCTTGGCGATGTTGTGTGCCGAACGCAGACGCGTGGTTTAAAGTACGCGTAGAACTAGCCGACTTGGACATTGCTTCCAGTCGCCTCGGCAAATGCACTGCTGCTCGAGGTGCAGCGGGTGTACTGAAGATGGGCCGAGTCCCCTTTTCGTGCCTTGTTACCTTTAGTTTCGATGGTTTTGGACACGTTGTGGTGTCTTTTTAATGTTGCTTTCCCCTGCCAGGCTTTTTTTTTTGCGTGGACGATAGGGCCGCGTGGTGTGGATATTGTAGAGGGTACCTTGTGGCGATGCGCCCACACCGGCCGCCCTGCGGCAGTGGCGACGCGAGGTTGGTTCTGTGGCGCAACCCTTTTGGCTTGTGCTCCGTCCTCTTTGGCTGCGTGCGAATCGCGGAAAGGGGAGTGTTACGCGAGCCCCGCGCTGTCCCTTTCTTCCTGAGGTCAGCTTCGAGGGCGGGAGCCCTGACTTAACTGTGTGGGATGGTTTGTCTTTACCTGTTTGGTGGCGTTTGGCGGTGTGGGGCTAGTGGGCAATACGTGACCTCGGTGGGAAACCGTACGCGCGACCGCGACGCGGTGGACACGACTTTTGTGAGGAGGGGGTATGATGTTGTAAGATTCGAGGCTAGGCGTCGCCTGACGTGCGTGCGTGAGCAGGCGTTGGGGGCGAACGCCTTCCCAGGGAGGCGCTGTGTGGTGTGTTGGAGCACACTCGTGCGGTGTGCGGCAGCACGGGGGGCCGATGCTGATTTCACGTGAGCGATCCCCCGTGGCAACGTGCGGGAATCGTTGGTTCGTTTCAGCCGTGACGGCGC